ACGATGACGACGATATTGACGACGACGACTACGACGACGACGATGATGATGCTGCTGCTGCTGCCTCTGCTGCTGCTGATGATGACGATGATCGTGCTAGTGGTAGCTAATGCGATGATGGTGGGATGATGCTGATTGTGATGATACTTACAATGATGATGATGCTTTTGATGATGATGATGATGAGGATGCTGATGATGATGATGATGATGATGCCGATGATGCTGCTGCAAATGATGATGATGATGTTGCTTATGGTGATGATAAAGCTGCTGATGTCGACATTGAAGATACTCATCATGATGCTGACGATGATGATGCTGATTCTGATCATGCCGATGACGCTGATTGTGACGATGATGCCGACGATGATGCTGATGATGATGATGATGAGGATGATGACCATGATTATGTTGATGCCGCTGATGATGATGACGTTACTGATGATGCCGATGATGATGGTTATGATGATGATGCTGATGATGATGAGAATGCTGACGGTGTTGATGATGCTGACGACGATGATGATGATGATGATGATGATGATGGTGATGATGATGATGATGATGATGATGATGATGTTGATGATGTTGATTACGAGTCTGGTACTACTGCTGCTGCTGGATTATGGTGGTCATGTCTATGGGCGGCGATGGTGTCGATACTGATGATGCTGATGCTGCTTATTATTTTGAGGATGCTGCTGCGGCTGGTGATGGTGATGATGATGATGATCATCATCATGGCAATGCTGATGATGCTGATGATGATGCTGCTGATGCGGCTGATGATGAAGCTGATGATGCTGCTTCTGCTGATGGTCATGCTGATGTTTGTCATGGTGCTGGTTGTTGGTGACAATGATGATGATGATGATGATCATGATGATCGTGGTGATGAAGGGGCTGGTGATGATGATGCTGCTGCTGATGATCATCATGCTGATACTGATGATGATGATGCTGCTGATGATGATGATCATGGCGATGATGCTGCTGATGATGATGCTGATGACGATGATGACGATGATGATGACGATAATGATGATGGTGACGGTGATGATGCTGATGATGATGATGGTGATGCTGCTGATGATGATGATGGTTATGATGATGATTATGATGATGATGATGATGATGATGATGGTGATGCTGCTGATGCTGATGCTGATGATGATGATGATGATGATGCTCATGCTGATGCTGATGCTGCTGATGATGATGACGATGACGATGATGCTGACGATGATGACGATGACGATGACAAGGACGAAGGCGAAACTGATGATGATGATGGTGACGATGACGATGCCGATGACGTTGATGATGACGATGACGATGATGATGATGCTGATGATGATGAGGATGATGATGATTGTGATGATGATGATAATGATGCTGATGATCATGGCGATGCTGATGATCTTGATGATTATAATGCTGATGATGATGCTGATGGTGCTGATACCGAAGATGATGATGATGATGATGATTATGATGATGCTGATGCTGATGCTGAATATGATGATGATGATAATGGTGATGCTACTGATCATGATGATGTTGATGCTGATGAAGACGATGATGATGATTATTTTGATGATGATGCCGATGATGATACTGATGATGATAATGATAATGACAATGATAATGATGATGAACATGACGATGATGATAATGATGATGATGATAATGGTGATGATGATGATTATGATGACGAGGATCATGATGATGATGCTGATGATTATGATGATGATGATGATGATGATGCTGACGATGATGCTGATGATGATGATGTTGATGATGCTGATGATGATGCTGATGATGATGATTCTGATGATGATGATGATGAGGATGAGGATGAGGATGAGGATGAGGATGAGGATGAGGATGAGGATGAGGATGATGATGATGATGATGATGATGATGATGATGATGATGATGATGATGATGATGATGATGATGATGATTCTTATTATTTGGAGGAAGGAGAGGATTATGATGAGGCGGAGGAGGAGGAGGTGGAGGAGGAGGAGAAGGAGGAGGACAAGGAGAGAGTGTTCTCTCTGTTGATCCAGCTCGCTTGCATGGAGTTCGCTTGCACGGTTGGCGAGGCCCTGAATGACATCTGGATTTCACGCAAGTCGACATTGTCTGGCAAGCTCTTTCGGCTCAGCATTGTTTCATTATCTTGGGACTAGGTGCATGGGGAGGAGGACGAGGTGGAGGAGGAGGAGGAGGAGGCAAGGCAGAGGGTCTGTGATGGAGAGTTTTGGACGTTTTCAGTCCCGTTTGGGCCTCCAGTAGCCCCCACAGAGCCTCTGGGGGACCTCGGGGGATGTTTGGAGGCCTCCAGGGAGCCTGCGTTCCCAGAGGTCCGATGCCTTGATTTTTTTCTCAGCGCGGGGTCCCCGGAAGTCTCGGCGCCTTCCTGGGGACCGGCCTGTCATCCTGCATTGTCTCTGTCCTCGGCGGCGTACCTGCTGCGGCTGAGCTGCCCGTCCTGCCTCTGGAACCTCTCGGGAAGGGGGGGGAGCTGGCGCCCGTTCGCGGACCCCGTGCGCTCCTTCGCACGCCCCTCCTCGAGGAGGTAGGAAGAGGGGGAGGAGGAGGAGGAGGAGGAGGAGGAGGAGGAGGAGGAGGAGGAGGAGGAGGAGGAGGAGGAGGAGGAGGGGCGGCCGAATTTGGGAAAATCATCCGTCTTGATTTTTCCAGTGCGTCGAAGATCCCGCGGCTTCGGCCTCGGAGAGGCCTCCTGGGAGGCGCCGGCGCTGCTCCGAGAGGCTCTCTCCGCCTCTGCAGAGGGCCTCCCCCCTCGCGCCACTCCCTCGTGCGCGCCGCCAGTCTCGATCGATGGGAGCCCTCCGCCTCTACCTTCCATACCATGACGAACGAACAACACACACCCGTACCCATAAGGGGGTCGTTGGGAGGAGGACTGGCTATGGGTATGGGTGCGGGTTGTCGGACCCTAGGGAACGCTCCCGTTCGAGCGGGGACCCCCATCCGACAAGACGCACCCATAGCCCTTTCCGACCCCCCTATGGGTATGGGTGTGTGTTGTTGGTTCGTCATACCAGGGCTGGGCCTAAACGCTGTTTTGCTGGACTTCGGCTGTGTTTTGTTTCTCGTTCAGGCCGGGAGGTACAAGAATAACAGGCAGATCAAAACGAACAGCAAAACGACAACAAAACGGAGAACAAGGTTTAGGTCCAGCCCTGTTCCATGCCTCCCGACCTCAGCGGACGGTGCGGAAGAGCCCATCGAAGCTCATGGGAACCTTCCGCGATTTAGGGGAACCCACCCAGATCATATCGAAACAAGGGGGCGGAAGGTTCGGGGCGGAAGGTCTGGAAGGCTGAGGGGTAGGGTGGACCGACCGATCTTCGGTCGCAGGGCTTGTCGGTCTTCGGCGGATCGGCCCCGCGATCGTGAGGGCAGCCTCTCTGGCGGCCACGAAAGGCACGTGCTGGCCGCCGGTGGAGCGGTGCAGACTCGGAGGGGGTCCGAGCGGCTCCGCGGTCGCCTGCGCGCAGGCTGCCTCCGTGAGGTTGCGCGTGCGCCTCTTTTTCACGTGGAGCACTCTTCGATCGAGGATCGAAGAATTGAATCATCGACTTAGGTGAAAGAGCGCTCGTTGAACGCGCGAACGTATGACCAGCACTCCAGTGCGACAGCCAGATCTTTGCTTTTTTCCTCATTGAACTGGTGGTCAATCATGAGGGCCGTTCGCTCTCGCCGCCCAGTGCGCTCGAAAACGGTGCCCGCACGGGGGTGGAGTTCGGCTCCAGGTCCCAGCAGGAGGAGGAGGAGGAGGAGGAGGAGGAGGAGGAGGAGGAGGAGGAGGAGGAGGAGGAGGAGGAGGAGGAGGGGGGGGAGGATGAGGAGGATGAGGAGGAGGAGGAGGAGGAGGAGGAGGAGGAGGAGGAGGTTCCAAGGGGGCCTGGTGGACTGTGAAGGCCTTGCGGACGGCCCGCCAACCCTGAAGGCGGGGCTTCCCCAGGAACCCTCCTTGTCGCCTCCTCGGGACCCGCCTGAGCACCGTGGAGCAGGAGGGAGAGAAGCACACAGACACAATGAATCGTCGACTCCCCAGGAAAAAAAGGAGGAAAGTATGGGAAGTAGGGGGAAAGACAGAAGCCAAGAACATATGGGGAAATGTGGGGGGTCCTGCTATTTGTGTGTGAGTATTTATTTGTATGTCCCAGGGCCCCTTCAGCGGAGGGGGTGGGGCGGTATTCTGACCTGGGTCCACCCCACCATAGACGGGACTTCCCCGGGGACACCCCTCCAGGAACCCCTCTTCCCGCAGGGGCCCCCGGGGGGGGCTGCCAGGACCCTGGGGGGGGGGGGCCTGGTAGTCTGCCCTGGGACCCCCCCTACCCCTCTCCCTGCCCCCGACCCTACCCCCCCCGTCAGGGAGGGGAAAAAGGGATGGAATCGACTTGGCTACGACGTTTATTTTTCTGTTCGCTTCTAAGTTTCCTCGGGGCCGGCGACGACGCGGACGACGAAGATGACGACAGCGTCTCACACACGCCGAAGTGTCGGCGGATTTCGCTGGACTTCGGTTCTGAAGACGGCGGCGAAGCTCCCCGACATGACCCGAAGACGGCCCACGAGAGGCTCCGCAGGGGCCCAGAGAGCTCCAAGACAGCCCAAGAGCCCCGGAAGGGCCGCAAGCAAGAAGCGCCAAGCCGGCCCCCCAAACTCGATGGGCAGCCCCCCCGCCCTGTTTTTTGTTGTTTGTTTGTCTTGCTTGCCCTGGCGGGCGGACACAGCAGCACAAAAGGAGGAGGAGGAGGAGGAGGAGGAGGAGGAGGCGGCGGCGGAGGAGGCGGAGGCGGAGGAGGAGGAGGCGGCGGCGGAAGAGGAGGAGGAGGAGGCGGCGGCGGAGGAGGAGGCGGAGGCGGAGGAGGAGGAGGAGGCGGCCGGCCCCCCAGACTCGGAGGTCCCGAGAGTTCCTCGACGGGTCGCCCCCCGAACCCTGCGAGCACCCGCAGAAGTTGCTTGGCTCGAGGCCCAGACCTCCGACCGCCGTGGCCTCTGCACGGCCGGGGCTCCCGGAGTGGGCTCCTGATCCTGAGCGGAGCCCTGGACTCGGAGGTGGACAGACCTCCTACCCTTAGGTGGCCACATGCGAACCCTACCCCTACCCCCCACGATTTTTGAGGGGGCGGGTGGGGTGCACTTCGCTCGGGAGCTCCCGAGCGAAGTGAACCCCACCCTCCCCCTCAAAAATCGTGGGGGGTAGGGATAGGGTTCGCATGTGGCCCCCTAACCCTGACACGTCGATTAAGGAATTGGCCGTTTTCGGTTCGCGAGAGGGCGTCGCGGCCGTCATTTTTGCGGGTCCAGGTCCGTCGGTTTCGGTCCCAGGCCGTTTTCACTAAGGGGAGGTTTGCTAAAGGGAGGTTTGTCCACCGCCGATGGACGGGGATTCATGCAAGTGGGGGTCAGCCAGAGCGCGGGATCTTGCAGGAAAGCCAGGGCTGCATTAACCCAGGCTGGCGCTCAGGACCCTGCAGGACCCCGCAGGATCCTGCAGGGTCCCGCGCAGCCCGACGGACCCGGGTTTGGGACCGGAGTTTGGCTTGGGGGCCCCAGGGCCCAGCCAGGGCCCCCCCGGAGGCCGCAACGGAGGCCCCCAGAAACCGCCCGCCGCCTCGAGTCTTCTCGCGGCGTGAGGAGGTCCTCCTCCTCCTCCTCCTCCTCCTCCTCCTCCTCCTCCTCCTCCTCTTCCTCCTTCCTCCTTCCTCCTTCCTCCTCCCTCCTCCTCCTCCTCCTCCTCCTCCTCCTCCTCCTCCTCCTCCTCCTCCTCCTCCTCCTCCTCCTCCTCCCCACGCCGCGGGAGGCTCTGGCTGAAAAGCCCGCGCCGCACGCCTGGGGGGCCCGCGGCGCCCACGAGGGGGCGGCGCGAGGCGAGCGGCCCTTGGCGCGGGCAGGGCGGGGGGCCCCTTCCAGCAGGCCGGGGGGCCTTCTCGAAGGGGCCGGGCGGCTTCCAACGAGCCCCTCGGAGGCCAGGCCCCTCCGAGAGGGCCCCTGGCGTCTGAGGAGCCCTCCCCCCCCCTGGCCGCCCTCGCAGAGGGCCGCCCCCTCGTGCCACGTCCTCGCGGGCGCCGCCTGCGAGGTCGCCCCACCCTCGGCTCGGCTGCAGCGCCCCGCGGGGCCGATGGCGGCCGCGCCCGCGGCCCTGATGGAGGAGCCGAAGCACCCAGCGCCCGCCGCGTGGGGCCCGCGGCCTGGCGCGCCTGGAGCGGCGCTGGGCGCGGCGCTGCCATGGCCGCCGCCATTCAGGCCGCCAGAGCAGATGCACAGGGGCCGCCAGCAGGGCACGAATTGGCTCGCGATTCGCGATTCCTCATCCTCATTCTCCTCCTCGTCGTCCTCCTCTCATTCAAGCAAGTAAATGCAACAGTGCTGGATGGATTTCCCTCTGACCCCTTGGATCGGGACGTGGACGCGGGGTCAACTTGAGCCGGTGCCAGAGTTGCAGGCACCGCGCCAATGTACACTTCTACACGCAATTGTGGCGACATTGCCGCACGATCTTTCGAAGACGCTGGAGTATTAAGGTTTGCCAGCAAGGAGGTGTGCAACAGAAGGCTCGACTTACTTCATTCCACGGTGACCCGAGGCGTCGCAATTCCAATATGATCTCCGCATATGCGAAGATGTCTGCTCCAAATTGTGATTCTCTGCGCATGCGAAGATATCTGCTCCAAATGGTGATCTGCGTCTGGATATTTGTTGGATGCGTGTGATCTGGCCCTGCACATACTGAGGTATACCGTGCAAGTGCACGCTGCTGGCATATGGAATGATCCGTGCCACTTCCTGCGAAGAGCAAGCTCCCAAAGCATGGGCTCTGTTGTGATTCTGCAAGCTGACTTCGAAGTTGTCGAGGAACTTGCAGCTAGGAGCGAATTCTTCGAAATCCGCGCGCATCAAGACGGACTGCACATCATGATGGATACACTCACGACGGAACATTGTGCTCAACACCATCACATCGTTAACGAGCAGCAGCGGACTTAGCATAGCGTCAATAGGCAAACCATGCTCAGCGGACCACACCCAAGACGTTCGGATTCGCATCTAAAAGCCGAGTTCGTCCATTCATCATCGCTGCCGCCAGAATCTCTGATAATGAGCTGACGGTGGGAAGGCCGTGGAGCAGTTCCAAGACGATGTTCCGTAGCTTGTAGCACTTGTTGCTCATTTCGAAAGTTGCGACGGTTCTCATGTCTTCGAATGTGAATAACTACGGCTTCGGTGGTGGGGTTGTTCGGATTTCCACCCACGTGGCATCTACCATGTCCCTTCCGTGACACTGACACTGTCCAGCGACACGTTTGGAGTGAGCTGCGGTCGAGGAGTTGTTCAAGGTCTTGCAAGTCTTGGGTCGCACTAGCATTGAGGAAGAACGAGTCGATGTCGAGCTAGCCTCTATCGATGAACGGCTTTGGTCGACAAAACCTGCAACGAGCCTTTCAGCCGCACACGGCAGGAGGTCACGTGCAGACCAAATCGTCCATGCTGTGGTAGCCCTCGATCGGAGGCAAGTCCGTATGCCTCTGGCCACAACCTGGCCCATGCGTCGGGTGGAACGGTGTGCCGTGCACATACTTCTCTTTGGTGTTGGTGGTCTCTAGTGCGCACAAACCTTTCTCCATCAAACATGTCTTCTTGTCGTCCACATACACATGCCCCAAACATGCTGGCGCCCAGCATCGAAGCCTCTGATGCCTCCAGCTGGATGGGATGCACCGACAATATGACGCCCACATTTCTCTACAGCCGTGGTCTGTGCGCGACACGGAAATCGCGTTCACCTGAAGCTCCGTAAGAAACAATATGCGAGTTCAACGGCGTATCCGACCTTGGACCTGACTACGCGGGTCTTCAGATCGTTATCTATCACACCACAAACCTCACGCCCACCAACATGAAAGGCATGGGACAGAGACTGCTGCGTGACAGATTCCAACAAGTTCTTCCTTGGATTTCTGCTCCGGCAATCCAAACATCCTATATGCAGGGTGAAGTGTGGCACAAGCATGTGTCTGCTATGCCAAATTGTGTCGACCATCGTCCAATCTGCGGGCGCGATTCGTCGTACAATCGGCGGGTCTCATGGATATCGGCATATCCGAATTCAGAGGCACACACCGCACATGTTCGCGCCTCCTGCGCGCTGGAAGCACGTGCAGACTCAATCCACAGTGCGTCGACGGCGAGACGCCGTGATTCTCGGATGTGGTTGGTCCAGAGCGTGGCGCAAGTGCTGAGCCTGCAGTGGTATGCGTGCGTGCGGCGCTCAAACATGGACCGTACCCTGCTCGCAGAAATCCGAGCATTTTCTTTGGGTGGAGGGCAACGGGTGACATCTGAAATGCCGTTCCGATGGATCTTCGAGGCTTGAATCTGCAAGAGGCGAATGACAGGACGGATGGATTTTCGAGGTGGAGAAGCCCATGTGGATCTCACCCTGAGCCCTCCGCCCTAAGAAGATGCTCAGGAAACCTCCCCGTGTTGGCGAACGCCTCGGCGTGAGGTATTCACTCTCGTCAGCCAGACAGTGAACGGTTGTGTGCGCGTGCTCCGAGCAGCCCCGAACCACCACAAGATCCTGAGGGTCGCCCGCTGTCCCTGCACGCCTGCGAGAAGACGGCGAGCGTCTGGGCATAGCTCACATACCTTCTCTGACCACGAGGGGAGGCCCTCCAAAGATTTGAGCGCTGGTTCGCCTCCAGCGTAACCGACATGTGTGGCCAGCAGAAGCCGATGCCGGCAGAGATCTGTCGGTGCACCAACACCAGAAAGCTCGCAAACACTACTTTGACGTCGGCGGTTAGGCAGAGCCACTGCGCTGGCGAAAGAGCAATCAAAACGGGGCTACCGTTGAAGCGAATTGTGCCACAACCCAGGGGGTTGGAGGGGGAGGGAGGGCGGCCGAAAGAGGAGACATGGAGCGAGGGTCGCTCAAGGGGACGGGTCACGTCTGGAGCGAGTGGCGCGGCCGGCCCCGCCGGCGGGGTAGGCGGCGGCTGCTGCGCCAGGGCCTGGCGGCGGCGGCGGGGCGCATTTCGGGTTCCGGGACAAGCAGGTTGGTTCAGGATGCGACGTGAACAATGCCAAGGCCAACAATCGATGGCGGTGCGTCCCCCAGGACGGGAGCGGGCGCGGTGTGCCCAGGCGGATGCTGGGCCGCTGCGGCGGCGGGCGGCAAGACCAGGCCCAGAGCGGCAGCGCAGGCTGCAAGCAGCCACCCATCGCAATGGCGGCTTGCGGACTGAGGGAGAGAGAGCGGGGGAGGGGGAAGCGGACATGGAGGAGGACGCCCCGCCTGCGGAGACCCGCAGGCGGGGCGGCAGCGCTGGGCGGCAGCAGCGGCGCCGGGCGCTGCCGAGCGGGGCGGGGGAGGGCGCCTGGCGAACGCCCAGCGGGGCACGAGGAGAGCTCGCTCCAGCTGCCTCGGTGGGCAGGGTGAGCCAGCCGTAAGCAGGGGCCCGGCGGGGCCCGGGGGGCCGAAGCGGCGAGGAAGAGGTCGGCACCTAAATGGTGCATGGCGAGGGAAGGTGAGCACGCCCCCCTGCCTGGGTGGACATACTGGGCCAGCGTGGGGGAAGAGAGGGCACCGCCGTCGAAGTGGACGGCAGCGAGCCCGCCCCTGCTGGCCAAAATTGTGGCAGACGCCAGCGCCTCCAGCCCGCTGGGCGGAGCGGGGGGGGGGGGAGGGGCACCGAACAGGTGCGCGGCAGAAAGCAGGGAGACGGCCCCCTTGCGCAAGAGGACAGGGTGGACTGTGGATTGGGGGGGGGGGGGGGCGTCCGCCGCCCGGAAGACGGCGGCGCGCATGGGATGGCCAGGGTAGCAGAGGAAGCCAGCGCCCCCAGCAAAGCTGGCAGGGGGAAGCGGGCGAAGGGAAAGCAGTTAAGTTGTGCACATCGACGAAGAAAAAGGGGAGACTGCCCCCCAGCCCAGGTGGACAGGGTGGGCAGCGTGGGGGGGTTGCCGAAAGCGACCGCCGTGGTCCGGGTGGACGGCAGTGGGCGCGCCATGGCGCGCAAAACTGGAGCCCGGGCCCGTGCATCTGACCCGACAGTGGGTGCGGGCATGGGCTGGGCGCTGAGCAGAGCCGCGCGCCGCTAGGGGGGGCGCGCGGCAGGAGCGGTTATATGCTCAGGAGAGGACCTGGGCAGCAGGGGCTAGACGTGGGCTGGCGGTGGCGTGGTGCCCCCAGGGACGTCCCAGCTGGGGGCGTGGAGCGTTTTGGCAATGGCCTGGAACGGGTACTTGTCCGTATGGGGCCTCTGGCGTGCCGTGCCGTGGGTGGCGCGCCCCGCTCTCCGACGGTCCTGGAGGCGCGTTAGGGGTAAGGTGTTCGGCTGCCGGGAAAACGCTGCCTGGTCTGCTCGTTGTTGGGTCCCGGCTCTTGCCTTTGCCCTTGTCCTTGTCGGAATGCATCTGCCCGATCCTTCGAACGTGCTTGTCCCAGGTGGCGTGCCAGTCGATGCCTATGCTCCGCTTCCTGCACCGCTGGCGGATGTCGAAGTTCCCCTCGCGCAGCTGGCGCACGACCTCCTCGCAGAAGTGGTCCTGCCCGTTCGGGTTGTACGTTGCTCCTTGCCGTCCTTCCCGCTGGTCGCAGAGTGCGTTCCAACCGATGACGAACGTGGGCCCGCATTTATTTTTCAGCCTGTTGACAACTTCTGGCCAGGACTCGTACGGGCGGGCTTGGTAGTTCCATGCGCAGTGTCAACGGATGTCCAGGCGGGGCTTGTTGTAGAGGCCGTCGTTAGGGTCGTGGTAGTAGGGGTGTGATCCTGGCGTGGATGTGAGGGGCCCGGAGCGGTAGGAAAAAGTGGTGGGTGCGGCCTGGGTGTCCGCTGGACGACGCGTCTCCCCCGGCGGCGGGGCGAGGGTAGGGGTCGCCGATGGTTTGTTCAGCGGTCCGAGGGGTCTTGCGTATGCGCTCACCGTCGGGTTCGTCAGCCATGCCCCCTTCTGCCACCAGTTCCGCGCGGATGCCCAGGCTTGGGTCGACGCTGTTGTCGCTCCTTGCCGCAGTGGGGGCTTGGAGCGCCGGCAGGGGGGTTGGTGAGCACTCCCGCTCGTAGAGGGTGTCGGCCAGTGGCTGAGGTTCGCATGAGTCGCCGAAATCGATTTCAGTGCGCACGGGTGACGGTGTGGGCGGACGGTGGTGCCTTGCAAGGAGGGTGGCAACACTCAGGAGGGAAAAAAGCACACAGACACAACGGATCGTCGATTCCCCCGAAAATATGGGAACTGTGGGGGAAGACGAAAACTAAGAAAATATAGGGAAATGTTGGGAATCCTGTTATTTGTGTGTATTTATTTGTGTGTGTCCCAGAGCCTCTTCAAACACCCTGGGTGGGCCCTTCGGCAGCGGACGGGTGCGCGGGGACGGGATGGGTGGGCGCCCCCGCAGTGGGCCCCCGGGCGGAGCTGCTGGCTTTCGGGGGCGTGCTGACCTGGCCGTCGTGTGGTGTGTCCGTGCTGAGCAGTGCGGGGGGGGGCCTGCTCTGATCTTGTTTGGGCTTGGTGCCGGGGTCGGCAGCCGTTTGTGACGGGCGACCATCGGGGTCTGCAGGTCTCGGATCCGCAGAGAGGCCAGGAATCCGAGGAGGATCTCCCAGCTGTACCTGTTAGGATCCTGGCCTATGTCGCGTGCTTGCCGGTGCTGCCAGTTTTTCGTGCTTTCCCTCGGCGGGCTGGGTCTTCTGCCTCCGGAGGTAGGCGACTAGGTGCGCCAGGGCAGCTTGTTTCCCGTCCCATTGCGTTCCTTCCAGGATCCCGCTGTTGGGGATGGTGGTGCCGTATGTGCTCGTGGGTAAGCCTTTACAGTCGTCATCCGTCCAGGCCCTTGGACCTCTCGCAGTGGCCTGCTGGGAGGCTGACCGCTGATCCTGCAGGTAGTCGTTCCACGTCCGTCAGGCTTCGTCGACGTTTTGGTGCAGCGCGCGTGCGTGGTGAACCATGACGCGCGCTATGCTGTCACCAGCCTGGCCGTCTTGGGGATCTGCGGGGATCGCCGTGCCCGCCTCCAGGGATTTCACTCTCCTGTTAACGAGGCTTGGGCATGGTGGCGGCGCAAAGTCTGGGAGGTTGGCGAGGATGGCCTCGCCCGCGTGGTGGGCAGCCCGGGTCGGGATGGTGCCCTGGTGGGGTGAGGGGTCCGCACTGGCGCGTGTTGGGTGAGTCTGTCCGTTCGCTCGGGTTGTGGGCAGGTCGCACCTCCTGTGCTGGGTCAGGTCCGCGTGGCGGCGGTTGCCGGCGGAGCGTGGGAGAGGTGCTACTCGTGGTGCTGCTTGAGGTCCCTCTGCGTTGTGTTACCGTGGGTACGGATGGGAGACCTGCTGTCGTTGACGCTCGCAAACACGGTACAGTCATCTTAATCGTGATGTTTGCCATCACTCCGCGCTTCGTCGTCGCACTTCGCCGCTGGGAGCTGCCACCAGGCAAGTAAAGCCTGAATGAGGAACGCCACGTTCGACGCTACTATGTGTTGAAACCTGCTTTGCTATCTTTCAGGAGGGAAAGGAACACAGACACTATTAATCGGCGACTCCCAGAAAATAAGGGAAAACATGGGAATTGGGGGGGAAGACAACTCCCAGAAAATATGGGAAAATATTGGGGATCATTTTATTTGTGTGTTTTTATTTGTGTGTCCTGGGGCCCCTTCAGTGGTGCCTCTTTTGCGATGTTTTCACACAACGTGCATAGGGTGCTAAACATACTGATGACAAAGACCTGTAGCCAAGGAGTGTGGTGCATTGCTGCGATGTCGGATGTGACGGTTCTCCCCTATTTTCCAAAAACCATGCAACAGGCTGAATTGAGAAAAACTGAGTCCAAGGGTATTGCTTTTTCCCAACCGTTTGGAAGAGACTCCGCCAGATTTTCAACAAACGCGAGCGAACCTCCACAACATGAACACCATCTTACCAGCCTGGAACATATCCCTATCCCTATGCTGGGCACCTCCTCATCACGATGCCAATCTTAGGGATTCCCTTATTTTTGAGGGCGAATCCCTAAGATTGTCGTCGCCTTTTGGCGTGTCAATCTTAGGGATAGGGATATGTTCGAGGCTGGTAACCATCGACAGAAAGCGTTGGATGGGTGGCGGCGCGAGAGCGCGAGAGCGCCAACACAGCTGCACTTGAAATTCAGGAGCGAAGGAACGACGCGCGTGCGTTGCAGCTGGCAGGGGCCTGGCATCGCTCGGACGTGTGCGTTTTTTCCTCGGCGAGGACCATCGAGGAGCATCCTTTATCATTTCGCGAAAAAACCACGCACGAAACCGAAAAAAACACAGGAAATGGACGTCCGAACGATGGCCAGACACAGCTGCACTTGAAATTCAGGAGCGAAGGAGCGACGCGCGTGCGTTGCAGCTGGCAGGGGGGGCTGCGGCGGCCAGACACCTGTTTCCGGCCAGCAGGAGCAGGGAAGAAGGGCCTCCCTTGCCGTCGGGGGCGGCCGAGAGGGGGGCGGTGATTGGGGGGGATCTCATAGCGGGGGCCACGATATCTCCCCAGATCTCATGGCGCCTCCTCTTACTTCGTTGCGTCCCCGGCCCCCCCCTGGGCCGCGCACATGCCGCTGGTCATGATTTGCGCCCCCCCCTCTTGGCCCTCTTGGCCGCCCCCGATGGTCGCCACGGCTGGACGCGGAATGAAAAACTGGCCCGTTGGAAGCCCAGGAGGGGTCCCAGGATTGATTTCGAGCGACTTGCCCGAACCTCCCCCCCGTTCGACCGATTTTCTCTTGGCCTATCCAGTCCAGACCCCCTGGCCGTCTCCAACCCGTGTGCATGACTTTCCGTAGGTTTCGAGATTGTGTGTGTGTGTGTTGCGCGAGCTTTCGTAACGCGAGGCTGGCCCCGCGGATTGGGGGGTGGTGTGTTGATGTGCGCGGCTCGGTTCGAGGGGCTCGCACGTTCTCGTGGGTCCTCAGCGGCTTCCCAGCCTCGGAGTGCCTTCTGGCAGCTGCGCCTCGCCCGTGGCGTTCCCGGAGAGCCCGAGCCGTTCCGAGCGTCCGCCAGTGACCCCAGTTGGGGTCGGAAATCCAGACGGCGAGGACCACCAAGGGTGTCCGCGGTGTCCGCGGTTCGGTCGGTTCGGCTGCGTCGCGGTCGGTGGCGTTCGGTCGGCCCGATTCGGTCGGCTGTTGTTTCGCTGCTGCGTCGCTGCGCCCCTCTAGGTTCATTGGGGTCTGTCGGTCTCGTTCGTTCCCGTTTGGCTGTCGGTCCGTTCGTTTTCCGAAAGCAGACGCTCTTGGCAGACAGGGTCGGAGGATCGCGCCGCAGCGCCACGGCATCGGCGATGCGGGTCGATGCGAAGCTCGAGCTTTTCCATCCCGACGTCGGCGGTGCCTCGGCGATGCCCCAACCCGGTGGCATCTCGCTGCTCCTCCTTGGGGCGGCCTCCAGGCCCGCGGACCTGGGCAGCGGGAGCCTGGTCGTGCGGAACACCTTCCTGCACTTCCAGGATCGGCCGCGAGAGGCGACCTCCTCCTCCTCCTCCTCCTCCTCCTCCTCCTCCTCCTCGATTCCTCGACTCCTCGACTCCTCGACTCCTCCTCGACTCCTCCTCGACTCCTCCTCGACTCCTCCTCCTCCCGCCACTTGCCACCGTCCATGTCGGGCTCACTAGCGGTGTGTATGCCTCGCTGGCCGGGCCAGGAGGGCGGACGGCACCGCTCTCCCGGCCCAGGAGCGGCCCGGCAGGAACAGCGCGTGTGCGCAGGCCTCGCCGCCCCTGCGAGTGGCCCCTGCCGGTGCGGCCTGTGGTGCTCGGTGTCCCGGGGCGCGGAGGGGGGGGGCCAGATCTCGGGGGCCCCGAAATGGGGTGGTGACCAAACCGGGTGGAGAGTCGGCGGGGATCTCTCGGGGTCACCGCACGGTTTTGGGGCTCGGGTCGTTCTCCGAGGATGTCTCGGGCGGCTGGGGCATCCGAGGTCCCAAAACCGTGCGTTGACGGACCGTGCGGTGAGGTCGTGGGGGATTTCGAGGTCACCGCACGGTTTGCACCGCACCGCTGCGGGACTCCAAAAGATTTAACTCTGGGCCTCCCTGAAGGGGTCGGAGTGGATGGAGTCGGAGGATCGCGCCGCATCGCCCATGCATGCGATGCATCGGCGATGCATCGCCGATGTGGAGACCGATTCCCTCCATGCCGACGTCGCCGATGTATCGCCGACGTCGCCAAGGCAGCGGCATATCGGAGGCCCCCGAAAGTCTGGGCAGCTTCCCCGCGGGCGGGTCTTTCTTTATTATCCCAGGCCGTTTGGGCGGTCCCGAGGTCCGGCGAGGGCCCCGAGAGACCGACGATTGCCGAAAGGTTTCGAGAGCCTTCTTTCGGCGGCGAGCGAGGGGGGGAAGTGAGAAGGAGGGGGCCTTCTCAGAAGGCGGCGGGCTTCTCAGAAGCGCTCGGGCTTTCTGAGTGTTTCTGTGTCTTCGGGGAAGGCTTAGAAAACTTCTCAGAGGCCTGGGGGACTTCCGAGCCTTCTGAGAATGACTTCTCCTTCTTGCTTCCCTCCAGGCTCGCCTCCAGTTCCTGGGAGCTTGGAAAGCCGTTGGGGTGAAACATTGGTCCTGGGGAAGGTGCCCGGACCTCTGAGGGTCGGAGTGGCGTAGAACTCGTGACGCTGGGGGTCTGGTGGTAAGACTTAGGCTTGCGCGCAGACGGTCTCCCGACGTAGTCCCGGCTGGCCTCACCAGGCCCGTACCTGGGGGGCTTGCCTGCGCGTGACCCGAAGTCTTCCTTCAGCGGGCGAAGAACGGTGTAAGATGAACTTTTCCGCCGCCAAGGACGCGTGCCCCTGGGCGGCTTGGAAGTTCATGCCCCTACGGTGCCGCCGTAAGGGTATAAACTTCCCAGCCGCCCTGGGAAGGGCACCCCGACAGCGAAAAAGTTTATCTTGTACCGTCCTTCGCCCGTGAATTTCCCCCTCCAAGTTGCCCCCCAGTTGGGGATGCACCCATCGGAACCCGAAGGGAACAGCTCATAGCCCCATCTGGGTGGGCAAATCGGCCAGTGGGGCCCAGGCCACGCCGCTGGGGACCAGGATCGGATCAACGACGCTCAGGGGGGCCTGTCTGCGCGCAACCCGAGGTCTTACCAGTCAGGGCCCCGTCCGCTTTCTGAGCGGGGACTTTCGCGGAGGCCAGAGCACAGGAGTGAAAAAAACACACAGACACAATTAATCGTCGACTGCCCAGAAGATATGGGAAAGTATGGGAAGTGGTGGTGGAGGGGGGGGGAAAGCAAAAACCCAGAAGATATGCGAAAATATGGGGCATCTTTTTATTTGTGTGTATTTATTTAATCGCTTCGCTCATTCCGCCGGCCCGTATTGTGCCATCGCAGGCGTTTGCTTGCGCGTTCGTGGCCTCTTGGAGCCTCGGTGGGGCCGTTTGGGGCCTCTTGGCGCCTCTTTTTAGGTCTCTTGGAGAACTCGGGAGGCCTCCAGGGGGCCTCCTGAGCTCTCGTGACGGTCTCTTGGGGGGCTTTCGGCGGGCTCTTGGCGGTATTTGTTGGTCCTCTTGGGGCCTGGGGCCTGACGTTGTTGGTCCTCTTGGGGCCTCACGGGAGCTTATTGGGGCGTCTTGGGGGTGTCTTGGAGAGTCTCTTGGGGCCTCTTTCGGGGTCCTGGGCGCCTTCTGGGGCGGAGGGCTCGATTTTTCAGTTCTCGGTTCCCTTCTTGAGCCCCTCTTGGGCCCGTCTTGGGGCCTCTTGGTCCGCCTTGGGCAGCACTTGGGCCGTCTGGGGGGCGCTCTTGGGCCGCTCCGGGGCCGTCTTGGGAGCCTCGTGGGCCGTCTTGGAGCAGTCTTGAAGGCCTCTTGGGCCCTCTTGGAGCGTCCGGAAGCGAAAAGGCCAGAACGCAAAAAAACATAGAAAAAACAAATGAAAATCAACGATTTTGGCAACTTGGGGCCCTCTTCGGAGGCCTCTTGGAAGGCCCTTGGAGCGTCTTGGAGGCCTCTTGGGCTGTCTTGGGGCCATCTGGGGCGTCTTCGGGCGATCTTTGGCCGTCTCGGGCCTCTCTTGGACCGTCTAGAAAGCTTCTCGGGGCCCTCTTGGACCGATCTGGAGCCCTCTTGGACTCCGAAACAGAACTCCGGCATCTCTGGCCCGACCTTGCCGGGACCTTGCCGGGGACTTGCCGGGGATTTGCCGGGACCTTGCCGGGGTACTTTTCGTCCGGGGACCCCCAGGGGCCGCCCCGCGCGCGCGAACTAGAAATACTGTTAACCAGGTACCGGAGATCTTAGCACGCCCTGGCCCGTTGGGCCGGCGAATTTGTGTGTCCTGGGGCCCCTTCAAGAACCCTGGCCCGCCCGAGATTTTTTTTGCAGCCCAGGGCCGAGGCGTCTGCCGCTCCTCGCGCTCTCTCCCGCCAGACCTGGCAGAGTCCTGCTCTGCACTGCAGCGGGTGCTCGCTGTGGAGGGCTTCTCCGAGGGGCTTCGGCGACCCGTTCTCCTCCTCCTCTTCCTCCGCCTCCTCCTCCATATCCTCATCCCTCCCTCTCTTCCTCCTCCTCCTTCTCCTCCTCCATCTCCTCCTCCCCCTCCCCGTCCTCCTCCTCCTCCTCCTTCTCCTCCTCGGGTCGCCTACGGCCCCAGGGGAAACCGTCCAGTGCTCGCTGACAGGTACTCTCATGGAAGTCCGCCGAAAGTTGCTACGCCAGGCCCCCTTTCGTGCACTGCAGCTGTGCCCGCATCGGGAAGGGCTGTGCTCGCCGGGTCGGTGGCCAGAGTACGGCAGGCTCGCGTCGTGTCGACTCGGCGGCGAATTTGGCGCGAGCGTTCAAAGGTGAACGCCGCCGGTGGCCCAGAGTCGGCCAACATGGAATGCTCCGTCGATCGAAAAACCGCCGATCGGTCAAGATTGAACGATCCATGCGTTGTCAGAAACCAGCGCCAGGGTCGTTACGACACGAACCTGTAACAGAAAACAGACGACACCACCCCACCTACGGCCCCAGGGGGCTTGGCGCATACCAGGACATCTGGCGTGGGCTTTTGCATGCTGCGCGCAACGACCCCCATGGGCCGTAGCGCAACATGTAGGGCCGTAGGAGGGGTGGCGTCGTTTGTTTTTTGGTCGAGAACTTGCCTTACAGGCGGACCCAGGTATAAGATCGAGGTCGGTTCGAGGAGGGTACCCTTCTTCGTGCTTGTTGGATGTTTTTGTGCACTCTGGGGAGGGTAGCTTCAGATGTTGTGTCTGTCTTGGTCGACAGGGTCCCATGTTCTTGAAGGATCTTCACAGAGGGTCCCATGTTCTTGAAGGATCTTCTGGCCTGGGCCCGACTGTACCCTTCGGTCGGGCATGTCCTCCCACAGGGGATTTTCGACGAAAAATGAAAGTACCCTGGCGACGTACCCAACCCTTGCGCAATGCGGGGCATAAGTACATCAGGATTGCTACAACGGGGGCGATGACGTAACATGGACGCATGTGGTTTTACGAGCAGCAATCGGAAGGCTCACAGACCCCCGATCAAGATATAAGGGCGTCGTAGTGGTTACTAACGCAGCCCCCCACAGGGACGGCGAGGTCTCGCTCAGGTTTCCGCGGTGGCTCCCTCCGCTGGACCCGCCAGCAGCCCTCGAAAGTGGCGACAGTTTCGCAGATCGCAGCCCCCCAGGGACGGCGAGGTCTCGCTCAGGTTTCCGCGTTGCCTCCCTCCGCTGGACCCGCCTGCATCCCTCCAAAGTGGCGACAGTTTCGCAGATCGCAGCCCCCCAGGGACGGCGACGTCTCGCTCAGATCCGCGCGGTGCCTCAGTCCGCAGGACCCACCAGCAGCCCTCGAAAGCGGCGACAGTTTCGCAGATCGCAGCACCCCAGGGACGGCGAGGTCCCGCTGAGATCCGCGCGGTGCCTCAGTCCGCAGGACCCACCAGCAGCCCTCGAAAGCGGCGACAGTTTCGCCGATCGCAGCACCCCAGGGACGGCGAGGTCCCGCTCAGATCCTCGTGGTGCCTCAGTCCGCAGGACCCACCAGCAGCCCTCGAAAGTGGCGACAGTTTCGCAGATCGCAGCCCCCCAAGGGACGGCGAGGTCCCGCTCAGATCCGCGCGGTGCCTCAGTCCGCAGGACCCGCCAGCAGCCCTCCAAAGTGGCGACGGTGTCGCAGATCGCAGCCCCCCAGGGACGGCGAGGTCCCACGCAGATCCGCGCGGTGCCTCACTCCGCAGGACCCACCAGCAGCCCTCGAAAGTGGCGACAGTTTCGCAGATCGCAGCCCCCCAGGGACGGCGAGGTCCGGCTCAGGTCCGCGCGGTGCCTCACTCCGCAGGACCCACCAGCAGCCCTCGAAAGTGGCGACATTTTCGCAGATCGCAGCCCCCCAGGGACGGCGAGGTCCCGCCAGAGATCCCCCCCGCCCCCCCCCCCCCCCCCGGTGCCTCAGTCCGCAGGACCCACAGCAGCCCCCGAAAGCGGCGGGCAGTTTCGCAGATGCGCGGCGACAAGTTTGTCGCAGATCGCCAGCCCCCCAGGGACGGCGAGGATCACCCGGTTGCCTCACTCCGCAGGACCCACAGGCAGCCCTCGAAAGTGGCGACAGTTTCGCGGATCGCAGCCCCCCAGGGACGGCGAGGTCCCGCTCAGATCCGCGCGGTGCCTCACTCCGCAGGACCCACCAGCAGCCCTCGAATGTGGCGACAGTTTCGCAGATTGCAGCCTCCATCGTCGGCGAAGAGAGGGCAGGAGGAGGTGGGAGAAGAAGGAGGGACGCGACCACAGTGCTCTATTCAAAACGAATGCCAAACAAGAATTCAGAAACGGGAAAAATATTCAAAATATCGTCCCCAGATTGTTTATGTAATATTTTCGAATATTCCCCCTGTGGAGGGGCAGGCCCGATTTAACTGTACCCGATTGTGAAGCCTCCGTCAGGAGGGCACCGAGGAGGACATGGCCCACCGGAGCCTGCGCACCTCGCCGTCGGCGCCGGCGCTGCTGCCCGCGCGGGCGAGCCTGGAGGCGCCAAGCGGCGAGCCGCCCTTGGGCTTGGCATCGCTCGGACGTGTGCATTTTTTCTCGGCGAGGGCCATCGAGGATCGTCCTGGATCATCCCGCGAGAACTACACGCACGACGCCGGAGCATGCACGGGGAATGGACGTCCGATCGATGGCAAGTGGAGGTGGCGGCCCTCCTTGACGCTTTCAGGCTCTTTTTCGGGGGCCTCCCGAAGGGTCTTCGTCGCTACGGCTGGATGCGCCTCGGAAGAAGGGCTGGGATGTACAGTGGGGGCCCATGCCAAGAAAGACCCTGCTTGCCTCCAGGGTGCCCTGGGTTTCTTGGGTTTCGATGGTTTTGCAACGGAAAGCGTAGCGTTCCCACACCAGAAATCAATGGACGTCCTGGGGTCTCAGGTTTGGGTTTCTCGTGGAAGGTTTCTTGTGGACAGGCCTCCGCTGTATCCCAGGAGGGTTTGGGGACCGACTCGAGCGGATGTCGTGTCAATTCTTTTGGGGTCTCCCAGAGGCTCCTCGTCGCCACGGCTGGATGCGCCTCGGAGTTAGGAGGGATCCAGGGTTAAAGTCGGGCATGTCCTTCTACAGAAGACATAGTCTGGGGACGATTTTTCTACCACTTTTTACCATTTTGGAATATTTTTGATTTATTTTTTAACCTTTCATCGAACATCCGCCTGTAGGAGGACATGCCCGACCTAAGTCCATGGCTCGATTTCGAGCGGATGTAGGCCAGGCGGGAGAGCTCAGCAGCGCCTCACCGATCCCCCTCCTCGCCGGGCCATGGCATCCCAGCCCCACCATTCCCCCCCCTAAGTCGGGGATAGGCCTCGCGAGACTCAACGGGAAAGCATATATCCCCCTTCCGTGATCCGGAGGGATACATCGGCCAGTAGGGTCAAGGCTGTGCTGGTCGGGATGGGGATCGGTCCAACGATGCTGAAGAGCCACCGTTGTCTCCACTGGCCCTTCGAAAGGTGGCGATCAGCGAGCCGCCGTCGGCGATCTGCGCCGAGTGGCGCACCACCGTGGTGTTTCGCAACGTGCCCTACCTGCTCACGCGGGACATGCTCGTGGAGTTGCTGGACTCGCAGGGCTTCCGAGGTCCAGGCCTCCCAAATGGGGCCAGAGCAGGCGGCCGATTAATAGCATTGATAATAGTAATGATCGTAATAGTAGCCGTACTAGTGTTAATGGTACTACAGCTATTATCAACAATTTGATTGATACGATGGCTACGGATAACATTAGGAGCGCTATTAATATTACAATTCAGCGAATGCGAGTGTTAATAATAATACACTTCGGAATCAGCATAGTCACAGTCATCGTCATACTATTACTACTGCTACTGCTACTGCTACTGCTACTGCTACTGCTACTGTTACTACTGCTAGTACTACTGTTACTACTTGTACTGTTACTACCACTGTTACTGCTACTGTTATTACTACTACTACCACTACCACTACTACTACTACTACTACTACTACTACTACTACTACTACTACTACTACTACTACTACTTTCACCACTACCACTACCACTACTACTACTACGAATGCTGCTACTACTACTACCACTACTACTACTACTACCACTACTACTACTACTACTACTACTACTACTATTACTACTACTACTACTACTACTACTACCAAACTACCACAACCACAACCACTACCACTACTACTACTACTACTACTACTAACTACTACTACTACTACTACGAGTAAGACTACTACACTACTCCTACTACTACTACTTACTACTACTACTAGTACATAGGAAGAGAAACGAGTACTAACGAGTACTCTACTAATACTACTACTACGACGCTCATAACTACTCAACCTATTACTACGCTACTACTACGTTCTACTGCCACCTCACCACTACTACGTACTACTACTACTACTACTACTACTACTACTACAACTACGACAACTAGCACTCCTACTACTACACTACTGCTACTACTACTACTAACTACTACTGTTATACTACTACTACTACTACTACTACTACTACTATTACTACTACTAATACTACTACTCCTCCTCCTACCACTACTACTACTCCTACTACTACTATTACTACTACTACTACTACTACTACTACTACTACTACTACTACTACTACTACTACTAGTACTAGTACTAGTACTAGTAGTACTACTACTACTACTACTACTACTACTACTACTACTCTTTATTATTACTACTAATACTATTACTACCACTACCACTGCCACGTCCACTACCACTACCACTACCACTATACTACTACCACTACTATTACTATGGTTGCTGCTACTACTAATGCCAACCAACGACCTTAATAGTAACACTCATACTAACACATATGTTACGATACTCATATAAAGCAAGTGGCAACGCCAAATTGATATTAGTAGTGCGGAACATACTGCGAATAGTTAATCGTTTCCGATCATTACTACGGTCCTCCCTGCTCAGCGCACTACCTCAGCAGCCTTTGCATTCAAGCGAATGTGCCACGCGCTTGCGCGCGCGAGCGCGGGACCCCGCGCCTCTCAGCGGCGGCTGCCAGTAGAGGCTCAGCCTCCCACTGAATGGCCCGCTTGCGTGGCTGTTTCGGCTGCGGGCGCACCCGCAGGCGCAAGGCAGTGCTGAGGCGCGCGCTTCCCTGGCCGCCCTACCCACCAGGAGAAGCACGCTGGCCTCGCCTGGACCATGTCGGGTTTTGTTGCCTCGCGCCAGTCCGCTGTATCTAATGCGATAGTGCTGCGAAAACTTTTGGCGGCGCGGCCGTCACTCCACCTCCGCGCAGTTATCGGGCGAAGGCGCGGGGGAGGCGGTCGCGGCCGCGGCCCAGGTCGAGCCGTGCGGGCGCCCAAAACATGGGCGCAGGATGCTGTCGGCGGTCGCAGCCGCTCGCGAGGCGCACCCGTTCCCCGTGCTCCTGCGCGCCGCGGTCAAGGCGGCGGCCGAGGAGGGGGCGCCGGCCCCCGCCTTACTCGAGCAGGGCCGACATCTCGGCCTCGCAGGAGCGACGACGTGGAGGATGACTTGGCGCCGCTCGGTGAGAACAAGGAGATCAAGGCGTCCACGTGGCGCGAGGGAAGGCACCCCAGGGCGCCTGCGCTTATGATGACGCTGGCTGCCGAGTGGCGGGCTCGTCGCTTTGGAGATACTGAGGTCGCCTCCAATGCGACGGGTGCGCGCGGTTATCTCGAAGGCTCCAGCTTCGAGGCAGCTTCCGAGGGGAATTTCCTGTGCGCGGTCGATGAGTTCGACCACGGCGATGCGGTCAAGACAAGCGGGGCCGCGGCGAGACGGTCGACGCCTTCGAGAGTGACGACCCTGCGCTCGTCCATCTCTGCGGCCCGACGAGGGCCCCGGGTCGTGCGGTAGCGTAGCAGAGTATGACGCGCCAGTGCTTCATGTCGGGAAGTGGCATTCTGCCAAGCGCCCCTGCGAGGACTACCCGAGTGTTCAGCAAGGCGAGTTCGGGAGTGAGGAGACCAACGTCCATCCCCGCGGGATTCCCGCCGATGATGAGAGCCAGAGGCCCCGCGACCGAGGCTCTCGTGGGTCCACGTCTGCTGCCGGAGGCGCGCCTGGGCCAGACGGTGATGGGGGCAGTCGTGCCGGGGGGTCTGGCAAGTCGCCCTGGCGCGCAGGGGTGATTTGCCTGCCGCAGAGCGAGTGGGAAGAAGGATCGTGAAGATGCACCCCCGGAGCTGGGCGATGACTACTACCGCGGCGACCGCCGCTCTGTGGCGAGGGCTCGCTCGTCAACGCCCCCGCCTCGCGCGGGAGCTGATGCAGCCTGGTCGCGCGGCCGTGGAGGACATCGCTCCGTTTCGCGCCGCGGCGCGAGTCGCCGCGCCGCATGGGGCAATCCGGAGCTGCGGGGGCGCCTGGTGGAGATGGCCAGCTTCTCGCGGACCGGTGGCAACAAGGGCGAGCCCGCTGACCGCGGGTCGCGACGCTCGCGCGACCGCGGAGGCCATGGGCGCAGGCGTGGTGGAAGGTCCGACAGCCGCAGCCGCGGTGAATAGTCGGCTTTTCCTGGCGGGTGCTGAGAGAAACTATGGATTCAGCTTGCGCAGGGGATCCGTTTTCTGTTGCGCATGGGGCCGGGGGGCCAGGCGGACATCGACGGCGACAGCGCGGCGACGAAGACGAGGGGGAGGCGGGTGGGCGGTGGCGAGGGCGCGGAGGCCCATCGCCCCCATCTGTCCTATCGGCCCGAGCCAAGAGCACGCGCGGGACAAACGGGGGAACGTGTCGGAGTCAAATTGGAGCCATATCGGGCGAGCTTGAGGCCCACTAGGGATCGCGGGGCCATCCCGGGGCAGTCTCGAAGCAAATCCGAGGTCGTCTCGGAGGCGGCGCTCGCGTGTCGCGGAGCGCCCCTTGGAGCCGGCGTTGTGTTATGGCGGTGATGTTGGCGGTGTCGCTGTTTATTTTGAAGGCTGCCGCCTCTGCCGCCGACCCCGATTGAGCGACGCATGTTTGCTTCGTTTGTTGTCGGGGTGCCTTTCCGAGTGCGGCAGGAAGGGTTCAGGTGGGACATCCTGGCCTGAGCCTCGCCCTCTGGACTCATGATTCTCTGTTGCACCTTGGACTCCTCTCTATCGAATAACCTTCCCACCACTGTGCCTAGGTTTTAGGTATGAAGCCCATTGGATGTTCGTTGGGATGTCCTGGTGGACCATTTCTGGCTCTGAGGGGCAGTTTTGCGGCCTCTTGGATGCAGTTTGAATGCCTCTTCGGGGCAATTTGAAGGCCTTTTGGGGTCGCTGTTGGGTCCCTTGGGGGCTTCTTGGAGCCTCTGGAGGCCTCTTGGGCGCCTCTTGGGGCTCATGGGGCCCTCTTGGAGGCCTCCTGGGCAGTCCTGGGGCGGTATTGGGGGTCTCGGGCCCTCTGGGGGCGTCGGAAGGGGAAGCAGTCGAGAACGCCAACATGTTTCAAACAACGAAGGCCAGCCAATGATTCTGGCGTCTCAGGGTCCTCTTGGGCGGCATCTTCGAGGCCTCTTGGGGCATCTTGGAGGCCTCTTGGACCATCGTGAGGCCGTGCCGGGCGTCTTGGGGCGATTGTTGGGCGTCTCGGAGCGTTCTGGGGCTGTCGTGGGCCTCATTGGGCCCTGTTGGCCCGTGTTGGGCCCCCCATTGCTCCGAGGCAGTCGCGCAAGAAACCGCGAGAAGCCCCATGACAAGATTTCGCGATGTGGGGTCTGGGTCTCTGAACAACTCCTCGGGAATGGGCGCTGAGTTTGAGGGGATGATGGTGAGGGCCTGGGGGCGCGCCCGCTCCGTGCCCAGAGGCGCGGTGGAGGATCTAAAGAACCGTGAGATTATGATGATCATGGTTCTGACGGGTCGCATCGCCTTTCCGAGCTCCAATGGGGAAGGGGGGGGGGGGGGGGCGCTTGGGGGTGCGTGAATTTGTTTTTGGCTGCATTTGTGGGGGGTGGCAGCGACTCGGGTTGGAGGTCGGTGGATTGGGCGACGTGGCAAATCTTAGCCAGGAGCAGTGAGGGCCCCATCCCCGAAGGGGAAAATGAGGTTCTGGGGTTGTAGCTGCCGTGGACTGATGGTTTGGAGCTGCCGTGGACTCCTGGGACATCGTCGGGATTGCGTTTTCGGGGAAGCCCGCGCCTGAGGTGGTTCGACCAATTTCGCCCGAGTCAATTCCCTTTCTGGGTTCAAAGATGTCCTGTCAATGCTGTCGCCGATGACCCATTGGACAATGTTGTGTCTCATGTCAGATGAACACTCGGGGAGACTGGAACCCTCCTTGTTGCCAGGCCCGGGGGAACTGGTACCCTCCTTGTGCCCTCCTTGTTGCCGGACTCGGGGAGACTTGAACCCTCCCTGTTGCCAGTAGCAAATATGTCAATCGGGGCCACTTGTCAAACGGGCGAGGGTACATAGCTGGGCATTGCATGAGGCGAGTTGCCCGTCCTCTGCCGATGGGACTTTGGAAGGAAGTGACTTCACGCGCTAGTCGCCCAAAGGGGTGCGCGGATTTTCCTTGCCGTGGGTGCTGTGTGGCACTTCGTCGGAGGGGAGGCCCGACGTTGCCCCATCAGCCATGGTGCTGCTGCTGCAG